GACGCGAAGCTAGTTACTCTTCCTACGTCAGGACGTCACCCAATCGACACGCCATCGCCGTCACTCATTTTTATTTTGTCAGACAGTTAGCTCCACAGGAATCGCGGCTGGCATCGTGGCTATTGATGAGAATTATTTTATGGGGCTATTCTTCCCATGTTGCTTATACACAAATGAAAATTTTGCTTGTTTAGGCAGTAGTAGCTGCCTGGACAGGCAGCTCCTAGGCAGCTACTACCACTGAAGGCAGGTGAGACATCCGACCTGTGGCATTCTGTGCGACATTTTTCTCGACCATCAAGGGCACCGCCAGGTGCGGTTGCTTGTTTTGCGACGTCAGTTGGGTAGCCATGGCGAATTGAACCTAGCTGTGACTCTTCGCTAAGTCGTTGACGAGTGGCAGATACGGGATCACATAAGTTGCGTCAGATAATGCCACAATAAATGAATGCTGTCTTCAGCATCTGTACAAGACGATTGCCCCCGAAATGAGGCCAGCAGACATCCGCGCTGGGCGCATGCGTTGCTAAGGCGGGCGACTGATTCATGGGCACCCAGGCGCCCAACACATGCCAGTGCACCAACCTTCACTGGTTTGACCACTGTATTTTCGGTGCCTTTGTGCCCTCTGCCTGAATCTTAGTGGCAGAGTCCACCAAGTACGGCACCATTCTTCAGGTTGCAGTCATTCATTTTCTGTCAATGATCTGGGTACAAAAAAAAAAGGCTTTAAGCCCGACGTAAGTGTTATCGGTTATGATCGACACATCTTCTCGCCGAGTCGGCAACGCGCAGGGTGTGCAGACGGGTCATCGCCTCGGTGGGTGGTTGTGCTTAGCACATTCAGGATCCGGACGATGGGCTCAGCGCCCAGTCTCGCGAATGCTTGGCCCATGTGAGAATGCACGGTAGTTCTTCGGCTTGATGCACGCGACTTTGGTTCGGTCGAAACGCTCGACGGCTGCTTGCTTCGATGACAAGCGAAGATAACTTGAACCCATAGCAATCCATATCCACGAGATTTAGTTAAGAGAGCTTCGCGGGACTCGCAACTCGCTTCAGACGGCAGGGCGTCATCGGTGCCCTGGGCCGTTCTGTGTACTGTAATTGGCGTCTTGGGGGACGCAAATGCGCTAAGTCGCAGACGCCAAGGCAGTGAAGGTTGGTGCTGCGTGGGCACCCGCGAGCCCCTGTCTCAGTAGCCGCTACGATGTACTGAACCTGGTTGCTCGAGCATCATTGAAGGCGAAGATTTAGAGACCTTCGAGGCAGAATCGGAGGTCCGCGGCCTTTTCAGTCGGCAGGAGGAAGATCTGCGACACTGGAGGAAGAAAGGCCCAATTGGGAAGCTTCACAAAGTCGTCAGATCAATTCGATAATCTCCGCGGAGGAGTGAGCTATTCAAGAAAGTTGGGTACGACAACGACGAAGCGCAAGAGTTCCGCGTGGCGGTTGAATCAACTGCCGAGTTGGAGGTCGTTATGTGTCGCGCTGCACGTGTGCATGACTAACTGACGACCGGGCAGAAGGTCCCCAGCGAATTGGGCAACCGAAGACTCTTGATTCTTCTATCTAATGATTGACATTACTCGGTGATTTATACCCGTGCTGATTGAGGCAGGCATCTGAGACACGGCAGGCAGAAGCCGGGTTGCCTGAATGTCGCACAGAGAGCCAGCCTTGTGTTGCATAACATCTGCACGCAGAACATTTGTTCGCGGAAGCCAATGCTATAATCCTTGTATTAAGGTCGAGCGCCTGCATGTGTTGCGCTTTGACTTCGTTGAGGTCAAAGCTTAAACACTGGCTGCATATATCGCAACACCAGCTTCAATTACAGGGACTCTGCACCACAGAAAGTGGATCTTTCCTTTGTGTATAAAAAGCAGCGCACTATCGTGCGCTTACAGATAGCTCTTCAAGATAATTCTCATCAATTACTACAATGCCAACTATGATCCCTGTGGAGCCAATTGTCTGACACTGAAGCTATCGCCATCGATAGCAGGCAGCAGATGTTGTTAACGTCCTACATGAATGAGTGGCTTGATCTTGACACCATATCCAGTGAATAACTATCGCCAAGCCTACACCGCTTGGGCTGCAATCGGATCGGGCGAGAATAGATACGTACTGTCCCAGAACACCTAGACGCGTCACAAATTCTTGCTATCGCGTTCACCTCTTTGGCCACTCCCGGCACAGACTCCTGCAAATAGCCTTTAGCTAGCCAGCATTTACAATCGCCATGCTCGATAAGCTTGTTTTTCGTTACAGTCACAGATCCCAAATTGGTACAGTGGCCGCCCTGGCTTGATCCCAGTTACCACAGCCTCAACTATGTTGGAGAACTTGGATGTCGGGTTCTCCAGCCTGCTCGTCTGACACGATCCGCAGCAGTCAGTCAGTCGTCCACATAACCCCAGACTTACCCTCCGACCAATTCTTTTCTTTTTTTTTTTAAAAAAAAAAAAAAAAAACCAACCAAAACGCACACGTACTATTTTACGCTACAACCCAACTGCATGACACCTAGCACCGTCGTTCCTACTGCTTGGTGTGCCCGCAGTCAAAAAAACAGGGGTTCCTCCTGCCTCGATGGCAGTAATGGGAAATTGGTAAATGTCCCCGCTGTTGTTTTCGCTGCCGTACATGTTTCCATTACTGTCCGCGTAGAGGGCCCCCCAGTGGTCTTTGCCGGATATATGGCCCATTCGCCGCACTATTGTCCATGTATGATCGCTCGTACTCCATTTCATGAGGATGCTCTCGGTGGGTGAAATGCTGGTGTCTTCGCCAACGCTGTAAAAGTAACTCCCTTGGGTACCTGGAACTTGCACCCAGTCATTGATGGCATAATCAGAATCCGACGTACCACTCTCGACGATGGTACGGTACGTATCAGATTTTGGATCGGCTAGATCCATGCGCCACCAGACCTTTCCACCTGTTCCGAAGTAGAACTGGCCCGTGTCCGTGATCTCACCTACATTAAGGTTGTATCTTCTCCCGCCCATGGCATGGGGCACCGTATCCAAAATACTGGAGCTACCATCTGCTCGAATTGCGATGAGGTTGGAGTCCCCCGTACTCGTCTGGATTACGCCATAGATGATATTCTCTGCAGGATGATAGCCGATGGCATTGATGTTTCTATCACCGTCACCAACGGGATTTTTGACTAAGTTTTCTTGCCCGGTGGTGAGGTTGACTTGGTAGAGAGCTTTCGACTGGATCAGGTACCCGTATGGATCGCATGTAAATGTTGGAGGAGAAGTTGTGGTAGGAGTTGAAGTTGTAGCAGGAGTTGAAGTGATTAACGTGGTTGACGTGGTTGACGTGGTTGACGTGGTTGACGTGGTTGACGTGGTTGACGTGGTTGACGTGGTTGACGTGGTTGACGTGGTNACGTGGTTGACGTGGTTGACGTGGTTGACGTGGTTGACGTGGTTGACGTGGTTGACGTGGTTGACGTGGTTGACGTGGTTGACGTGGTGGACGTGGTTGAAGAGGCTGCAACACTAATGCATGATGTGCAAGATCTCGTCTGCGAACTCTGCAAACCAGAAATATTGCAAAGCCTCGAACACGTGGTAGACACGGTCAAACAAGGAGTAGTCAAACTTGATACTATCAACGCAGAGCTTGTTAGAGTCATAATATTGGCCTCTGCTGAACATTCCAAAGCCAAAACGAAGTGAAGCCAGAATAAGTTGACGGGAAAATACCTGGAGAGCCACTGGGCTGCTTTACTGACGAGCTTGATTCTTCGCCCGACGTACTTGTCAGCCGAGCTGCGTCTGCCGAGTCGGTGTGCCGTTGCCATCCAGTCTCTATAGGGGCAAAAACCAGAGTTTCGATGATAACCCATAATTCACAGGCCGTAGGATTATCTGTGATGGTTTCCCATGACCTGTGGTGTGACGATGACGATTTGACCTCATGGCCCCATCCGAACAATGAGTCATTGACGAGGAGAACGGCGACAAGCCGAAGTAGCAGAGTTTCCATATCAGGCGCGCATGTAGGAATAATATTATTTGCGTCTCGATGACAGAAGAGAAATTTGTGATTGAGAGGCGAACGTAATTGAAGTGGAACGCTGCGACGACACAGCTCCATGAGCACTCTCGGCCGCTTCTATTATAGTCCAACGTACTAAGTAAGATCATAACTGCCTTAGGCACTTCCTCGGGCGCCAAGCATGGGGAGGAAGTGCGGAAGTGCATTAATTTCGGTTGAGTTCAAGCCTTGACGCTCAATGTCTGGAATGTGTGCGATTCCCAACTTTGATCCTGTACATTTCTGTTGCGGTTTCGGTCATTCCTGCCATCTCTAGCTAACGTGAAGACCCACGACAAACCAACCTCCGAGGTAGGCACGCGTTACGCTTTACTATTACGGGACGCGTCGCATACCATATCTAGCCCCAGATGCAGACGTTTTGCACCTGCCGTTTGCACCGCATCGTCGTTCCGCCCTCCGAGCGTGCCTTCCTTGTTAGTGGAAGACCCTATCACTAGAATGACGCGAGAATAACCTCAAATGCGACTGGTGCGTGTACCCCTGAATGACGGCCAGCTCAAGCGGCAGCATCGACCGGTAGCATCACGAAACACTAAATAGGACCACCGGCGACCGCCAAGCGCGCAGCCCCTGGTCAATATCAAGCCGCTCATCGATGTAGAACGTTAACAGCACTTGCTGTCTGCCATCGGTGGCGATAGCTTCAGGCAACCCGGCTTCTGCCTGTCGTGCGTCAGATGCCCGCCTCAGTGGTATATCTCAAACACCGCAACTGGCCGACGCGAACGCTAGGGGACGGTTCAGGCAGTTTCTGAAATCGCTGGCAGGGTCGTTCAAAAGTGGCAAGGAGTTTAGCGCCAGCCGCGGCGCTAGACGCGGCGCTAGACAGACATACAGCGGCAGATGGGAAAGGATCCACGTCGCCTCTGTCTCAAATGAAAGAACGAAGGACCGTACATATACTTGCTGGGTTTTTACATCCCATCTGATTCCAAGTTTGTACTGGTCGATGCGTGGAACAACCTTCTTTTCTTCTTTTCACACGTGCGGGTAGTCGAAGCCAATGCCGAGGGCATACGTGGCAACATGGCAGGCATGGCCGCCGACCCGAGCCACCGGTCCAGCGCATCCATCCTACCGTCGTCGTCGTCGCCCGTATAGTGGGGGCAATCCAGCAGCGTGGCCAGCTCAGCCACCAACTCTTTGGTCTGGCAGTAAAGGACGACCCTGTCTCGCTCGCCTTGGACGAGATCCTTCCGGCCCCAGAAGCCCCGGACGCAGCCGGCCGCCCGCGCGGCGAGTGTGCCCTGGCCACGCTCACACCGCACCACATAGCGTATGTTCGGCCTGTCCGTGGATTCCCGCACAACCAGCGGCCGTACGAGCTTGTTGTGCTCGAAGAAGGGCTCCTCAAATACCGGTGGCAGCGTCGCGGTCAGCCACACGGTCTGTGTGGGAACGCTCCGAACGTACCACCCTAGCTGCGACATCGAACGGCGGTAGTTGCTCGCCGTGACCGTGAGGTGGCATTCGTCGACGACGATGCGATCCAGTTGCTGCCTGCTGTTCAGTAGGCTGACGTACTCCACAAACCGCTCCGTGCAGGCTGCCTCGGCAGAAACGATGACGAGCGGCGCCGCTTTGTTGGATGACCCGGGGTGCCATTCACGGTACCGAACGCCTGCCTTGCGCAGGCGATCGAGCATGTTCGTGCGCAGAGCGACTGCTGGCAACACAAGCACGGTCGTGCCGGCACCGTCCATCGCGGCTGCGACCATGAAGAGCAGCGACTTGCCGGACCCGGTCCCGAGGACCACGACGACCTGTTCCGCTGGTCGGGGACCTAATACGGCGAGCATCGCCTTTTCCTGGCCCGGCCGGCGTAGCTGCAACGCCGGATCGTTGTACAGCCGGCGAGCCACGGCGACGAGACCACCCCTTTTCAGCGCCGGGCGCCTACGGAGCTGAACTTTCTTGCACGCGTTCAAGATGCCGCCACGGGCATAAGGATCATCGTCGCCCGCGGGTACCCGTGGGCGTTTTGCCCGGAGAGCCTGGTCGACCCCAAGCAGGTTGCGCCATATCTCCGACGCTCGGTAGGCGCGGTTGAGCGGCATGTTCATGACCAAGGTGGTCGTGCCGGCATAGGCGGTGTTGAAGGTACCGACTGAATGGTTGCTTGCCACGGCCAGCGAGACCACGTCGAACTCCTCCTCGATCTCCTCTGGGCCCTCCATGTCGTGTATGTTGAAGTTGGCTCGCTGGCTAGGGCTCAGCTTGGCCTTCGTGATGGAGGCGGCGGCCTGTCGCCACCAGGCCACGGTGAGCCTCGGCGTCTCCGCCCGCGCGCAGGCCCTTTTCAGGCAGGCCACCACCCTCCCGTCTGACCAGACCTCGCCGCCCAACGTAGCCCAGAGGTACGGCGACAGCAACGCCCCGGGCTTACTCTGGCGCAGGAACGTCTGCCGCAGAGGCTGGACGACAGCGAGATACGTGAGAAGCAGATCCCCCACCGCGCGGGGCAGGAAGCGGATGTTGTCGGCCGGCTTCTCCGTCATCTCCTGGCTCTTGTGGTAGCGGACGTGCAGCATGACGCTCTTTTCCCACACGTAGATGTTCCGGCGCCTTCCCGTGTTTGCGTACAGCACCGACAGCAGCTCGGGTGCTCGTAGCGGCGGACAGGGTGACACGTGGATGAGCGTGACCAGCCGCTGGAGGAACTCCTGGACGTGGGCCTCGTAAATGGCGATGGCCTTGCGGCACAGAACCTTCTGCCCTGCCGGGCCGTCCCGTACGAACACCTGCCGCAAACCGGCGCGACTCTGGATCTGCCGGAGCAGAGCGTCCTGCACGTCGGGCAGGACCTCCGTGTTCCTTTTGTCGGTCAGCCACGAGCCGCCGTACTCCTCGAGATCGAGGTCGTCGTGCACCCGCCAGGACTCAACCGGCGCAATGTCGTCCGCGCCGAACAGGAGCTCGTCGAACAGGAGCCTGTGTGCCTGCCGGTACTCCGACGTGAGCAACTGCGGGACGTGGTCCATGTGCAGCGTGACGCCGTTTAGCGTGAGGGTTTGCCCGTCCTGCGACCAGCGGGCCTGGTGCCACGTAACGGCGGACTTGCCGACCGTTCCAAGGTAGTTGCGCCAGGCCAGGGCGTGGCCAAAGGGCATCCTGGCTCTTATCGCGTCTCTGAAGCATGGGTGATGGCGGACACCAGAGCCTTCCCTCTGCTCCGGCCCTACTATCTGATTTACCGGCCCTCAAACGCCTACCAGCTCAACTTGGAAGTACCGAATCATGCCTTTTGCAGTGGAAAATGTCTGCACCTTACAAGGTTCGCAGTGGCCCAGCTCATAGGCCCGCATGGGCGATACGCCAAGCTTGTGTGTCGACATATGATCTAGTATGAAATTGCGGTGAATGGTGAAGAGCCGGCAAATGTTGCAACGGAATGCGTCATATATCTTCAGCCCCGGAATTGCTGGGACTGTTTCCTGAGGTGTGATGAGCTGCTCAGGCGATGATACAGGAAACCTGCCGAGTCTGTCCAGTAAGCCTTGATAGTGCTTGCTGGCGGCGTGATGCTGGGATCTGAGGTGCCGATACTGGGCTTTTCTACCCGGCTGAACCATTGATTCGTATTGAACACAGATGATGATTCCGTATTGATCGTTGAAATAAACCCGTCGGGAGGGTGAGCTCCATCGTGAGACGGGCTGGTGGACTGTTCGGCCGTATTATTCCGCTTTCTTCTTTTGGGGCAGCTGACATCATCAATGCTAGTTTCTTGCCGCTTGTTTCCTTTAATAGATGTGGATGGCACCCTGATCGTCGTTGCTCCGTGCGCGGGTGTTATGGCCCGACGGAGGTCCGTGGATTGACGGTACTGGGAATTCCAATCCTGCCAAATAGTAGACAGCCTGCGGTACATTTCCAACAGCTCTGGCTGCAGTCGGGCAGGCAAAGCCGTATCGATCGCGTACGCCGTCAGGAGCATGTACGGATGGTGCCCTACGCCTGCAGCGATCATGTTGACCGGCGCACTGGCTCCAGTAGGGTAGTAAAAGTTTCTTTTCTTGATGAGTTCGCTGATGTATCGCTTAGCAATCGCAATTGCGGCCTGCCTGTAGAGCGATAATGTCCATGGTGTCTGCAGTCGACTAGTGAAGAGCCGAAGGGCTGCGGTCGCCTGTGTTGAAGTCAGATGCTTCCTGCTATGCTTCGCACCCGAATCTGGGAAAAGAAACTCGTTGCTCCAGAATTGCGGCAGTTCAAGTCGATTTGCCAGAAAGTCAATGAACGGCCGGATGTAAGTTAGATAAGCCAAGACGGCACACGCCAGATCCTTGGGAAGGTAGCGCACGGTATAGAAAGCGTGGTTGTTTGAAGTTGGAGACTTGCTGTAGCTGATCACAATGAGTATCTGCCCTTCACGGACGAACACATTCCTGGTCGCCAGTTTCGTGTTTCGCAGTCTGATACTTGTGATCTCGGTGCCTCTACCAGGTAAACCAGCCGTTAAATGAAGTGCGACAAAGATTTTCGTTGCGAGCTCGATGCCCGCTTCCAGATACGTCAAGCAGGAGCAGCTTAGCCATTGACCCGCCTTGGCGAAAGCCGCACCGCGGAAAGAAGACAACCAGGCGCGACGCGTCATGGCCTTGTATTTTCCTACAAAGCCGTTTTCTGGGCTGTCGAGGAAACGCCATCCCGGTACCTTGTTAGTAAGATCGTCGGCGATGGTAGACAGGTCCTGCGTGGGCTTCCATCCGAGCATCATCTCGTCGACTTGCTCTTGCACTCGCCGGATGGCATCGCGATGGGCGGTGCAGAAGTCGGACAAGTGCACTACCTTGTCGTTTCCAATAGTGAACGATTGGCCGTCTAGAGACCAGGTCAGATTGGATCTATACCCTTCTCTCTTGATGATGCTCTTCCCAAACGCCTTCAACTCCAGTATCTCGCCGATGGGTGTGTGACATCCTCTGAGCATGTATTTGGTCCGGATCGCTTGGAGCCGCTCAGGTTGCGACGGATAGGTGTTGCGAGCCGGCCAAACGTAAACGAGAGTCTCGTAACAACACAGTGGCAAAGCATACTCAAGAAAGAACAGCCGACCCACCCACATCAAGGCGGCGAGAGAAGGTGTGTAGTTGTATGCGCTGCGGTAGGCGAGAGAGGTCCTATGAATACCCATGACAGCTGTGAAATGCACGAGAGCCGAGGAATCCAGTACATCCGTTTGGCATTGATGTGTCCAAAACATCATGGAGAGTTGAAAAAGCGCTTCAGCTAGCTCGAGTCTCGTGCCGTGGGGAAGGGAAATGGAACGCCGGTGAGAAGATTGCTGTTCACCATGACTGCCGTAATCTTCTTCGCAAAACACATCGTCGTTGTCGTCACTAGTTTCGTCGTCGTCGCTGGCCTCGTCAACGCTAGTCTCGGCATCCGAAAAGTCATTCGAGATGTCGCTAGCTTCGCTCTCGTCGTTGCTGCCTTTGTCTTCGCCCGCGCCATCGGCCTCGGTACTTTCGCCTGGTTCGCTCGCACTCTGTTCGCACCAGGAGCTATCACTACCCTGGTCATCGCTTATAGCCCCATCTGCCTCGCCTTCCTCTTGTAGCCGTGTCGCCAGTGATAGAACGTGGTGCATCATCGTTATCTCGTCGGCACGCAGCGGGATATTATGGATTTCGCGTCGCTGCCGGGGCTCTAGAGCAATGGCTCGGAACAAATAGCAGATGAACTCCTTCCACTTCGACTTGTATCTTGCCTTTGTTCTTGGTGGTAAAACTCGCAGTGGCCGAGTATAGAAGGTGTCTCGCCAGTAACTCGAGATCCAGCAACGAGATCGGTAGGACGTGCGAGCTAAGGTGGCTTCCGCCCGATCAAAAATGTCGTCGACGGCTTGCATGAGTATGCGCAACCGTGCCTCCGCTCTGGCAGAGCTCCAGATGGGTATGCCTTGCCATGAACCCAGCAATAGATGCTCACGATCTCGATTGGGGCCTGCCGTAGGCTGGATTGCAGAGGCCGTAATGATGTCGAGCGGTCGACCCTCAAAAAATTCCGGCCATCCCGTATGTTTCAGCCACGGCGTGGTCTCGTTATCCTCGACACACGAATGTAATTGGCGATTGCACCAGATTTGTTTGCTTTCGGCGCGCAGACGGCGATCCTCGGCCGCCTCTTGATCCAGAAGTGCTGCATCGACTTTTCGCGAAAGCGGCCGCCCTGGCCCTGGGCAACCGGAAAAGTCGCTGCCACGCCCCGTTGGCGAGCATGGGCTTGTCGGCGGCGGAGTCTTCAAATGGTTCGCAGGCGGCTGGCGGTGTGGTGGCGAGGAGGAAGGTTTGAGCAAGGGCAGACCTGACATAGTTGGCTCTTCACTTGGGGTGTGCTGCCAGACAACATCATCACGGTTAACATCATCACGATTAAGGGAGAGTCTTTGGGGTGAGAATTTGTATTTGCAATATGCGCCGCCTCCTTCCTTCCTGCGCATCCGTAGTGGGGTTTTTCACTTCTTCCTGTGCCCCTTCCTCATCTCGCGTCTCAAGTAGCGAGCCGGCTGGACCTATCGGGCCGTTCCGCCGAGAGTGGGGCGGTCGGCTCGGCAGGGCCCGTGTCCCGGGCACTGTACGAGTGACCTTTTTCGGTGAAAAAGGACGGAGTGGACGCCGAAACAGACAGCAGCCAATAGCAGAGGCCGAAACTGGCAGGGGGATGCATTTTCGCCGAAAAAGAGCGCGAAAACAGACAGTAGGTTAAGGTCAAAGCTCAAACACTGGTTGCATATATTTGCACACCAGCCTCAATTACAGGAACTTTGCACCACGAAGCAAATTATTTCCTTCGTGTATAAAGTGCAGCGCACTGTCGTGCGCTTGCAGATAGCTCTTCAAGATAATTCTCATTAATTACTACGATGCCAACTGTGATCCCTGTGGAGCCAATTGTCTGACATTCCTGCTACCTTGAACGGCCAGCACTTAACGGGGCGAAGCAAGGCATTATATGGATGGACCCTCTCAAGTAAAACATAGACCAGGCGTGGGAGTTGGAGAAAGCGGCGCAATTCATAAGAGATGATTTTAGGCGGTCCAGTGTAATGATAGTTGTCAAGTTCGTGCAACTGGCAGCGATGAGTGAGGTTGAAGATTCGTGGTGAAGATGGCACGGAAAACGCAGCACTCTAAACTAAAATCAGGGCACTTAATCCAGGCACCGCGGCCGACGATTGCAATAGTGAGTACGCTAAGGCCAAATACGAGAACCGCGGCCCATCAACTGAACGCAAAATCAACCAAGCCATACGATGCCTTCAACGATGAAAGAAACACAATGAACTGGATACAAATCCACCTGTACATACCGACTGAACGCATATGAAGGGTGCAGTGAGGTCCGTGGCGATGAGCCGGAACATTTGGTGACGTGACGGGAGCCGGTGAAGACCGAGATGACCCATAACTCTACTACGGGCTGATTGCCTCTGCAAATACTCTGATGGGGGATGCAACGGTCGGGGATAAGCTAGCAGCCATGAAGGACATCTTATGTTTCAGACGGAACCAACGAGACTAATGAACCGCTTTCCGTGCCAGGTTGTCCGCGGTGTTCCACCAGACGTGGATTTCCAGTTCTGCAATAGGTCAAGAAGCAGTTCCACAAGGCGGTGTTTCAGCGCAAACTTATGAGATGGATTGTGGAGACATGTCAACATCAAGTCGCTCTTTCACAGCTAATAGACACCACAGTGTCGGTGAGTTGCGTATGTTAAGCACATAAGAGCTATTTTGCGTCAAATCCGTCACTACTAATTGGACTCAATGCAGCTCACAGCTAGTTATAAGAAACTGGACGTCGCGCCAGATAGGAAAAACAAGAGTCTTTCGTTGCCCGATTCACAGGGGACCTTCCTCGCAGTCATCAGCTTGTTATGCATTAGTGCCATGCGACAAGACAAAGCAGCCCTTCCGAGTGTCTGAGAACGTCACGTTTTGCCATCTTCTCGATTACCTAAATCCTATCATCAGTGCGACCAATGCCCACATTTCTCACGATACGATTCGAACGGCGAGTAGCAGATAATTATCATTTCTTTCGCTTTCATATCGTCAGAGCTCTGCGACAGAGACCTAGTGCCACCCACATTGCGTTTGATAGTTGGACTTCGCGGAAGCGGCAGCCGTGGTAATTTTCCTAATTAATGTTTACTCTCACTTATAATTTGTTTTTGTTATTAAACTAAATCGTGGCTTTCTTCCTGGACCAGAGCTTTCGGCCGCGTAAGATCGTTCTTTAGCTGCCAAATCTTACGGACCGCCTTACCAGCGAACATATCGCACACAGTATCCATAAAACCGTCGATGCCTTCGAGCTCGGCAAGGAGAAGATCGGCTACCTCACACTCGACAATGCCTCCAATAATGACAAAGCGATAGACCACTTAGCGCAGCACTTTCAGTCGGCCAACGCCACGTCAAGGCAGATCCGCTGCTTTAGCCATATCATTTATTTAGCAGCGAGGGCTATGTTTCTATGGAATGATGACGCGGATAGCGTGATTGAGGATAATCTTGACATCGCTGCAATTGCGATGTAGCGTGAACCAATTGGACAGCCACACGGCCTAGTGGTGTCCTATCGGCAACAGTTCTGCACTCGGCGATTTATTGGGGCTTCTCCCGCCGAGCGTATTGCAAAAGTCCAAAATGGATTAAGAAAGCACAACAGCTCCTCAGCGACATCTGGCAGGAATACGAAGAGCTGCCTATTCAGTTCGAACGGAACCCATTCGACGATCACACCCAGCAAAAGCGCGCCAAGGAGGTAGAAGAGGCAGTGTATACTTTCTCTTCGTACTCGGACAGCTTCAAATCGACAGGGGTGGAAATTTCCCCGCATATTATGTAAATGAGGAGAAAGCATGGCTCAATTAACACCTTGTTATTTCGTGAATGAAATAGTATTTCGCAGCTTCACCCCACTGCAAAATGCACAGAAGTCTCGGAGGAAAGTTAGTTTCCGCTGACGCCACCATTATCCTTGTCGAGCAGCCGGATAGCGACCGTCGCGCTGAGTCACCGCTTCTATCGCCTCGACCACCACCGAGACGGGGTCTTAAGATGAGAGGCTTGCCGAGACGCCCGCCGCCTCTACCGCCCGTAGTTGCCGCCGCCACCGAGAACGGGGCCGACAATGGGAAGCCCGCCGACAAGCCCACCGCCAAGCTCGCCACCTCCGCCGCCCAAGCCGCCGATCAGAAGTTCTTTGCGCTTAGCAACGACGGAATCAATTTCGCCATCATGACCACCGCCGCGTCTATCTCGACTAAAGGGCTCCGTGTCTGGTGCAATGGGTTCGAATTTTCTGATTGCATAAGTTGGATTGTTGCTGATAGGTATGGCAAAAGCGGTACCACAGATAAGCACGAGTAAAGCAGCAGAGAATCTCATTGTATCGTGAAATACTGTCAAAAGGGCAAGAATTGATGACCGCAATTATTGTTGCAGACAAGTGACACTGTTCTCTACAGGCAGGGCGGCCAAGAACTCTTTATGTCAGTTCCCTGACATATCTGAGTAGAACTTGAAAAAATGCCGGGAAAGGAAAATTACTGACCCGTTTTCGCTTAGGATGATCCGCAGTTTCACCCAATGCGATGGGAGTATTCTGATTGAAACCGCATTGGCAAGTGTCTGAGTCAACCTGCATCATTTCATGTCGGCTCGGTAGATGTCATTTCTGAGTAGCACTTGAAAATTCCAGGAAACGAAATTATTGACTCGTTATCGCCTGATGGGTCCTCAGTTCACCCAATGGGAGCATTCTGATTGAAACTGCATGGCAAGTGTCTAATTGACTGTATCACCGCACTTGGCAAGCAGAAGCTGTCGATTGAATTTACGGATACGGCACGCAAACATGCGGGGGGGGGGGCAACGGAAAAGCGGTGTGACGTGTTAAGCGCAAATTAGCCTTCTGGCGACTGGTAGCCTCCATCTATTTATTGTAAGCTTCACTGCTTGAGGCCTCGAACGACGCCTGTTCATCGGAGACTGGGTACGTCAAATATACAGAGACAAACCATGGTAAACAGTCAAGAATCCCTACGCCGTATTGTTTGTCACTGACTGGGATAGCAACACCTGAAGACACTGGCGGGTATGGGATCTGAGCATAACCGTGAGGACATCCCGCTTGTCAGCGACAACGTAGAGCAGTATCTGTGTGAGAGATCAACAAAGCAGACTCGGAAGAGAGCAAATTTGGCAATATGTCTATGGTTGACAATCCTGCAACTAGCAAACCTGCTAGTTTGCGTAGGTGGGTTAGTTCTTTTGGCGAAGCCGAAAAACGACGGCCAAAACCAGTTCGATGATTGTAAGTGGGAACCTGATAAGTGGTAGGTACAGTAGAGTACGACCGTGCAGGAATCTCACCACGGTCTAGATGAGCTCTTATCCCGTACTAGCTTAAACTGGGACTTCGGGGAAAGGAGTATGTCAGGACTTAGTAACAACTACAACGAAACGTGGGATGAGATGATTCTGCGTGAGTGAATCCCAGCTCGATCCAAAATTGGTGTAACAATAAGAGCTGACACATACATCAGATCATGGCATTGTTAGTATAACATCGGAGTGGGCTGCACGGCATGGCTTGCCAAGGAGCGTGAATACGCCGGATACACCTGGGGAACTGGTCTACCAACTGGACGCATTCCATAGTCTGCACTGCCTGGTAAGCTAGACCAAATATCACGACATCTTAATCTAAGATTAATGCATAAATCGGCGATCCTAGTACATTGTTCGACAACAATTGTGGAACCCAGATAACCACCAGCACGGCCACCATCTAGAGCACTGCCTTGAGTATGTGCGGAAAACATTAATGTGCAACGTGGACATAACGTTATTTGCTATGGACAGTAGCAACTTGTTTGGGGCCGAAGCTAGCCATGGCGTCCACAGGTGCCGAGATTACAACGCGGTTGTGGATTGGGCGAGAGCGCATCAATGGGAAGGGCTCTCCGTGTGGCTGGGGGAAAGCCAATGAGTGGAATTGTCGCGTTTGGTCACGGAGAATTGTGTAAATTTAGGTCTGTATGTCTTCCTTGCGCGTGTGCGCCACTGCACCTGTCCAAGTACTTCCATGCATGCAACCAAGTGAGTTTCAAACCGTACACCAAGTTTGGCTCCGTTTGTGCAACCTCGCTACGTGACACCAATATGCCAAGATTTGATTGAAAGCCCGCTTCACACGGGGGCGTATCCATATTATTCACACCATCATTCCATGCTTTGAGCTATGACTGAGGGGAACGCCTACGCTCAACCAACTAATAATGTCTAGCAGGATCAATCGCTGATGACAATGGTCCAATATGGCAATTGATCATTACACTGTCAACACCACATGCAGCCATGCAAGCCGGGGAGTCTCCAAAACGGTATCTTCCAAACCTGGCGAAAGCGAATTTTCTGGGTTTAGCCCCGGGGGGGTATAAGAGCTGCATTGGAGGTGAGTGTTTGACCGTGTATGCGTTTCACTTAGTGAAATTCACTAACACACAGCCAAAAGCCACGCCAGAGGGCACAGCCTTGCCTCTACACCCACCCACAGACTCCTTGAATTAGTAAAGGGTTAAGTTTCATAGATACTTCGAGTTGCCGACGCAAAGGGTTCCTTTGCTCTGTACAGTGCCGTACATCCGCAACAGGAGCTGGATACTCCCTGGGCTGCTTTGAATCGCTGTGAGGGCTCATCTTCAAGGTTCGGATCCCCTTGTAAAGCTTCAGAGTCATGTAGTTGTCTGCAGCACGAGGCATAGCTCTGAGCGGGGTATTATATAACCCCTGTGACAGGGACACATTAACAAGCGGACTTCGCAACAGACGGGCGTGGGACCTGGCGCGACCGTGATTAATCTACTGTGGAGAGACGTCATTATGGACTTGGCCAAGTCCCAACCAACAAAGCAGCAGACATATCCGTGGGTGCCTACTGGTCCCCGTTCCCGCTGAATGTGGGAAAGTTCGGTGCTGCTAGTCTTCTCTCACCGGCGGCGTGGGCTGAACCGAGCTTGGTCACGGGCAGACTCTCGAAGTCTATCTAGAAATTGCATTTTATTGAGCTGAGCTGTAAAGAATTAGACATATAATCGAGCTGTAAAACATTAGCCACATAATCGGTACAGGGTCAGAGCGGCCCTCCTTTCGACTCCACGTCGAGCAACCTGGCCAGGCTTTGAAGGCCACCAAGATCACCTTCGACCGTTTCGGCTAAGTCGCTGGGCACCCAGCCATTTGTGTACCCACCCCCAAAGTCCACAATCCAAGCATTCTGGTTACTATCTATCAACACATTGTCCGGTTTCACGTCCCCCCAGACTATGCCCATGCTGTGGAGCTTCCGTACTGTGTGCTGGATTTGCGTTGCCCACTTCTCCCGCAAGTATCGAGGCGTGTCAGGCACGGCTAGAGCAAGCGTCCGGTGACCGCAGTCGATGTACGTCAAGAGAAGCCCATAAACCGTTCCGATGCTGTCTCGAACTAGTCCTTTCAGTCGTGGGACAAGCAATGTGTCTTCGAGTGGTGCATTCCTAAGTCTTGTATAAGTGTCCAGCTCTCGCAGCAGACTGTCTTTGTCGCCGCGACGCGCGAGTTTGACAAAAACCACCATTCCGTCCCTTAATACAGCTTTGCCAGGCGTCTTAAGGGGAAGCGCAGCCGTAGTCGAAGGGCAGGGGCGGCAGAGGCGAACTTGAAACGGAGTAAAGCTCGGCCACGGCGAGCAGACCTCATAAGGCAAAGTGACACCGAATTGACATTTCGTACCCCTTCTTGGGCTGCTTTCTAACGGGACTGCGATCACTTTGCCGGCCCTGGCTCGAAGATCGAATAGGAAATACTCTGGAAAGAGGTAGTCGTCAAGAAACAAGCAGCCTGTCCGCATCGCTATATTCCTGAGCATAGATAGCAGTGGTTTGATTGCCCAACCGTAAAAGTCTTCGACAGTATAACCGTCCATCTTCAGGTTTTTGGCATCATGTAATAAACGAAGGTACCGTTCCTTTACTTGGGGTGAGTCGGAGAAATTGGCCGACGTTGAACGGAGGATAAAGAACTTGCTTTGGTACGTGATGATGAGTTCTGCATCGCTGTTGTTAGGGCATGTAAACTCTACAACCCTCCACAGCGGTTGTAGGGGCCTTTGTACGGCCAGATTTTCCATCTCGAATTTCGGGCTAACGATTCGTACAAGCCAAATTCTTGAGGGATGATTGATTGATGGGTGATAGCTCTTTCAATGAAGGAAGGCCAAGCTTGGGTCAGAAATGAGTGCAGCTCAACGCCGGTTATGTAGTGGGGCAAGTCAGCAGATGATGTTCTCAGCTAGAGACTTTGATATTGCAGCACGGGCTGGCTTGGCCTAGCGCGACGCCATGGGTAAGCAGCACGGTGCAATACACCTAGCACTTTGGCATCACCGGCATCCCACAACGTGGCGAAAAGGATACCATCTCGGCGGTGAATTGGATCATGCGAGACATGAGTGGTGGTGGTGGTGGTTACTGGGTGGACCTGAGTGACGTCATGTTGGAAAGCCGCGGAAGACCATGGGCGCGACGATGCAGTCATATAGTTACTGGAGGTGACATCGACTCAGACAGTACTCATGAGAGACCAGTAAACAACAGAAACCAAAAATAAGGTTTAGTTCAGGATGAACGGTGTAGTGCCTCACGGTCCCGCCTCGTTACATGAACGACGTCGGGCCTACTCACACTCATTATGCCAACACACCAAGTGCCAGATCCTTGACCTTCTGCTATGTACCCCGATGCAGGTATGAAGGCACCACTACTTAGGTTGTCGACGCTGTCGATGCTACGGCACTAACACGACTCTCGTCGCGAACTAGACTCTAATTTCGAGCATCCCTAGCTCGCACATTCAACAGCGTTTGTTGGACTTGGAGCAGAAAGTTTTGCGTGAGTAGATCTGTGGACAGCAGATGGAACCGGAAGATTACGGCCATTCGAGGTAAGTCGAATAAGAGCAGACTCATGGGATATTATCCTAAGTACATATACATACACCCCCCTCCTTAAAACGATCGGTAACCGGTTCACAAAGGTCGTAGCATCGGGTAACCAAGAGCTACTTTGTGTCAACACGCGTCGCACCTTGTCGCTTTCACAGTGCCCGTCGCGATTGACTTAATTAGCTGATGTGGGCTCGGGCACCCGTACGACCACATGAAACGGAGCCTGGGTAGGATCCTAAGGTTTGCTGTTGCTTAGGAGGTAAGCTAAGTTTGACGAGCAGTAAACGATTTAACAAGATTCCGTTAAGCTTTGAAGACTTCTCATCAAGGGTGCGAACCACTCAATTCAATCCACGAGATGCCTCAATTGCGTTGAGTTGACCTGTTCCACGGCCCTTCCCATTGGAGTTGATCAATTGGAGGTCAAATTGAGTTGAATGTCCACCAGTCGGCGTGTCACCCCAGGTGAGCCTATTGCCATCTCTCGTCCTCTTCCCCAGTTTCTTCGAACCTTCTCATCCATTGTTTCTCCTCTGCCTCATCCTCTGCCCTGAAGTTTGCAACATGGAGCAGTAGTACGTCCAGATCACCCCGTCCCGTAACCACGACCGCAGAACTTGGCACATCCCAATGCTGTCCGCGTCAAGCCGACTTCGTAGGGGCGTCACTATACGCCCTGCCGCCGCAAACAGTGTCTCGCACTCCGCTGACATCGGCTGAATCGTAAGGAAGTCCAGCGCCATTCGCGAAAGGCGTGGATGTAACGGTCTCAACTGAGTGTATTGACAACTAGCTGAGCGACTGCAACGAGTATCCTAAAGCTAGGGAGGAAAGAAGGAAAAGAGAAAAACTCGGGAAAGGGGCGCGAGCTCCTGAGCGGAGCTCTGGAGCTCGTGTGGGTCCAGGTCGAGAGCGACTGCCGAGACCCGCCACGGGCCCAGCCCGTTACATGGATATCGTCGTCAGCGCTCATGCCAATACGATATTGGGCCTCTAACTTCGCTGTCGCCGCCCTCAAACGAGGACTGCCACCACTCAAGCTCGTTGGTGTCGTCACCAGTGCTGCCCGATGGAGAGACTTCGTCGTCTTTTATCAAAGTGCACCTAGGTGCAGCTCGAGTGCGCTCACAGTACGCTTGGAATGGGTTGTGGACTTCCGCTATCACTTCGCAGCCGGTTCCTCGCCCTCGTCAGCCATCGCACTCCGCGCCGTCTGCAGGTGACGGTATTCTGTTTCCGATACTTCATGAACCATCTGCTTTCCCCTCGCAACCCATGTCGGATTATACTTCCACTCGTTCTCGAAATATCCCCACCGAAAGCCGAGTGCAATGTCAAGGCCGCATAGTAGATCGGTATTCGTCCAGTCGGCTGTAGTACTTGTTGAATTTCTCCCAACCGAGGTTGAAGTGCTCTGGACCGGGTATTTCGGATGCTAGTTGTTTGTAGTCCTCGAGGACCTCCAAACGGAACTCGAATCCTTGGACAGCCTCCCAAACATTTCCATATGACCCTACCCACCCTCTCTTCCGCTTGCGCTGCTGACCGTCGCCCTCTAAAATCTTGGCAGCAACCTCATAGAAGCCAAGAAGCTTGGCCAAGTGATCAAGGACTACCCAATCGTTCGCTGTAAGTTGGTTTTCCTCCAAGCAAATCCCAGGCTCCTTAGCCGACTTGCCAACACTGCCCATTCTCATCGACCTGTTTTCTTGCTGCCGTTGCTGCCTGTGCTTTAGAATCAGCTGTTCGAGGAAAGTGCGAAGGCTGATGGCTCGTCTGATCATGTATTGTTGCGAAAGCCAACGAGTGTCGTTATCCATGATCAGATCAAGCGGCTTCCTGGCTCTAACTCTTGGATCTGCACACATGTCCAACTCCGTTCAATGAATACCCCGCAGCAGATACGTACAATGGTCCGATCTTCTGACGTCAGCTACAAGGTTGTCCAACTTTCCGACAGGCCCATTGTGGCGCCCCGGTTCGTGCTCTGCCTCGGACATGGCCGCTTCACGGTACTAGTGGCTGTTATAACGTCTTCCGCATGGTAGGGCCGCAGGATACCCAATTGGCCGCACAAAACAGATGCATTGTGTGTGTTCCGAGAAGGACAGCAACGCACTGTGGAAGGTAGAAAGGTCTAAAGGGAAAGAAACCAGCCAGAATACATATGCCCACGGCCGCTAAATCGTGGATCCGCCTCCAGCTCTGCGATTGTGTCCGGCCGCAATTGCCTTCTTTTTCCCACAACCCGATTCTGGGTGTCCACCGCCGTAATTGGCTGTCTGTCGTCACACATCACAAACCAAGCCGATTGTGGCTGCATAACCGTACGAGTACTGCTGGTACGCCCGACGCCGTGCCCGGAGCGTTTCGAGCCTGGGTTTGTGTACTGTACTTCTGGCCGCCGAGGCACGGCTAAGACTGCAACACATGGTGATGAACACCTAAACCAGCCGAAATGTGATCTATTGTGAGGGAGGTCGCGAACGAACGCGCATTCTGCTCTTCGTGCGACCCATCACCCTTCGCTCTGGCATTGTCGCAATGCGTCTAACTGTACCCGGTCTCGACGCGGCACCGATAGAACTAGCAGAGTTCCGCACCTCGAAACAATTTCATCCGTAGCATACCTATTCTGTTGCTGTGGCTCCCACAGAACCGTGATCCACGCCTCGTTGAACCTACTGTAATGAAGTATGTTGGCACGTACTTCTGTACCCAATAGCTTGGTTGCCAGGCAGAAGCCGCTCCTGCTCGTCGGAACCACCAGACCAGGATTCTTCTTCATCCGCAAACTTCCGGCCCATGACTGCAACAAAGATGGTCAAAGCTGTACCAAGGACTACCCCTCCTGCTGCAAGTGCGATGTTGACGGGAATCGGATTCCCCACAAAGACCTCATGCGTAAGCGCGTCAAGGGCGGGTTGGGCGAGGTTTGTTATGCCTGAAAAGCACACGACCGTTCCGTAGATACGTCCGAAGGTATCAAAGCCAAAAACTTTAGTTATATAGTCGCTATAGCGTGTCAGAATGCATACCTTGGTGTGCTGTGTCTGGCGAACTTACGAAATAGCGGAATAGTAAAGCGGCCGGAATACGACGAAAACAACGACGGTGGCGTACCCTGCCCAGACAAGTGGCATACAGTTGAGAACACCAATGGCGACGATGAAGATAGTGATACAGGCAAATACCATGGATACGCTGAGGTTGTTGAGCAATAGGCCGATGACTGGCGTTGATACTACGCCTCCAACTGGTAATGCGACGTCAAAAAAGCGATTTATGCCCGCAGCAAGGAGCTCGGAGCGCAGCATGTATCGGTATTGTGCACGTATGGTGGCGATGAAAACGTTCATTCTCAACATCTGAAAAGCGGTCAGCAGTAGCATGAGCAGAAACCAGGGGCTGAGTATCTGCCTGCGGGCAGGAGTACCGTGTAAGACACCCCACACGCCACTTGCCGCCTGTCGGGTCTCCTTCGTACGTCGCCGTTGTTCGCGTTGTTCGTCGTCGCCAGCAATGTTCTCGAGCTGGCTCAACTTGACCATCCGCTGATCCGCGCGAGCGCCATGTATTCTTGCTAATTCCTCCGTGTTGGATATGTCTTGATCAGATCCGTGAATGTCTCCGCTGTCATCTTGGGCTCTGCCAATCTTCCGTTCCAGCTCGTTGATGGTGTGATAGGAGACGCGCGGCATATAAGCAAACTCGGCGATGGCGATGAAAGCGGGCACAGCAGTATAACCGAAGAAGAATTTTTGGAGCGTGAGGCGGCCGACAGTTGCCTCGAAGACCATGCGGTAGATGAGGAAGACCGCGGCAGAAGCATCAAAAGCCCCTGTGACCATGGCGACAATCATTCCTGAGTGTTTTGGGAAGGCGTTCGCAAGTTGGAAGGAGGGGACAAAAATGAACGTGCCACCTAGTGACAGCAGCACATTTGCTAGAAGATACCCATCCATGTCTGGAATGGCGAACGAGGCTCCCATCAAGACACTGCCGAGGGTCAACGACGCGGAAGCCACGACCCAAGAGGTTCGTCGACCAAATCTATCGAGCGCGAAACCGGCTAGGAGCGACGCCACGTTGGCAGTAACAGACGCCACGATGAAAAAGAAATTCAATGCCAGATCCTGCGCACCACAGGGTATTTCGTGACTGACGTGTTCGTAGCGGGATGCTGTCGTGTTGAAGTCGCAGAGCTCGCGATAAACCCCCTCGGCAACTAGTACAGGCTTGAGAGCCGCGAAGCCAAAGACGATGCCAGAAGAAAGCCAGCAGGCTAAAATTGCAGTCACCACCTGGGCTGCACAGTTGTCAGTGAGTAAGCCAGTGGCACCAGAGTTATCGCACGAGAACTTACCGCATCGCTTGATGCTGGACACTTTATAAGCAGCAATATGATCTTCCCTTGAGACGGATTTGGTCGGTGCAAAACTCATGCGATGCCATTCCGTTCTACCAGAAACGTGCACCGGGGTCGCTGATAGCACTTGACCATTCGCGATACTAGCGTGCTCATCGCCTTGTCGGAGCTGATTATGATCAAAGCATTCGTCCTGAGTTACGTGCTGTGCCAGCGACATATTTGCTCATACAAAAAGGGAATGTTACGACTTGGCGTGAACGAAAGGCAGATACCGACAATTGAGTCAAGATCATTGAGTCGCTGACGAAAACTGAACGAAAAGCAGATACCGACAATTGAGTCAAGATCATTGAGACGCTGACGAAAGCCGGTGCGGCCTCGCACTTGATGCCACAGTATTGGAGCCAGTTGATGTTCGGGATTCTGGAACCTTCGTGTGATCCCCGATCGTACCCCGCAGGAGGATTGTCATCCCTTCCTGAATCACCCACCTCCAAGCCAGATGGCTTTATCCAAGTCCACTGTGCACAGGCGTCTCGGCACTTCCGGAGCCGCGGGTCCTCAAAAGCTGCCTTGGAGCAACCAGGCTCGTCGCTACGACGTCCCAGTATTCCGGAGACATCAGGGTAGCTCCGGGACTTTGTTTCGTGTAAAACAATGATGGAGCAGGAGCGACGTGGGTGGTAGCCAACCGCGAATCATTTGGGCGAAATGGTGCTGGTTGGCACGCGCCATGGAGGCCCGAATGTACAGGGGGTATGGCCAGCTGTGGCGACATCCACTATTCAACAGTGGCTACATTCTCGGTAAGCGTCAGCTGTCGTGACAGTGCCCGAGTAAGAAGTGGCGGGCGGGGCTGGTGCCTGTAAAGGCGCTGGAAGGTTCTACAAGCGCCTGCATTGGCCACAACGCGTCGGATCACGCCACACGATGCTGTAGCTGTCCCAGGAGGCTGTATTTCTTTCGTCATGTCTTCGATCTGATATATCCATCAAAGTCTCGAATGTTCGACTGACTTCAATCGGGTGTGCTCGCCTACATGTAACTTCCCGAGAATGTTCCAGAGGGTCTCGCTGGATCTCCACCCCAACATATAAGGGGGAGGTTATCGTGCGTACATTCGTTATTCTTCATCACTCATCAGGCAGCTATAAGCCCCCGATGCAAGTTTGCAAATCGACTCTACGAAGAGTGTTGTGCAACCTGAAGCGATTTAGTGCCATTCAGCCAAACAAGCCCACACAAACCCGCACAATGGCCTTCTTGCCCCGCAACTTCTACAATCCCGACGCGTCCTTCACCCCCCTCTTCCGGCTCCTCGACGAGTTCGACACCTACTCGCGCCCCGTCAACGGAAACGGACATCATCGGCGCTCGGCGCTGCCTGTCTGGCAGCCCAAGTTCGACGTCCGAGAGACCGGTCAACGCTATGAGCTCCACGGCGAGCTCCCGGGCATGAGCAAGGACCAGGTCCGGATCGAGTTCACCGAGCCGCAGACGATGGTCGTGCGCGGCCGCGTCGAGCGGGCCTACACTACCGGCACCGCACCTACTGGATTGCTGGAGGACGCAGCGCAAAGCAAGGCCATCACGGAGGGCGGAAACGAGCGGACCAGCCAGTCGCATCAAGCCAGTGTGGAAGACGAGGGCGCCGACGCCGCCACGAGCTCCGGCGCCGAGGTCGTCGACAAGAAGACGGATGTAGCCGCCAAAGAGCCCGCTGACACGGCCAAGTACTGGCTTTCCGAGCGTAGCGTGGGAGAATTCTCCCGCACGTTCAACTTCCCCGGCAGCATTGACCAGGACGCCGTCAGCGCGAGCTTCAAGGACGGCATCCTGAGTATTGCCGTACCCAAGGCGAAGAGGCACGGGTCGCGCCGCATCACCATCAAGTAAAACACATCTCTGTGAAGGGACTTTCTTGTTCTCTCCGGGACAGACAATATCGAACAGGTCATGGGAGAGGACATTCAAGATTTGACAAGGTGATCGAACCCTATGATGACTCGTACTACGATTGGACGCGGGATGACTTCAAATGATTGCAATACGTGGGCAGATTGGAATATAAGAGCTGCAATGGCGCGGGGGTTTGACTTTGCATGCGTTTTACTTAGTGAAAATTCACTTGCACACAGCCAAATGCCGGCCAAATGCCGCCTCCCGGCCGCGACACGCCAGTGCAACGCCGAACAGCGAGCTCATCGCAGTGACCGACCAGTCCCAGCGTCCCACAGGCAGCCGCCTGTGTGGCCTGTTTGGCCTGGCCCTCCTCGTCCGCCACCTCCAAACCGAGCCCGAGCTGCTTGTTTGTAACCAAGGTTACAAAGTGGGTCATTTGCAGTTGGCTTGGGCCGCTGTGGCCTCGGTGCCAGTCGATGCCACCCAGTGTCACGTTCTCCGTTGAAAGTGCCCCAAACCTCAAGCGGACAGTCGGCGGCGTCCCGCGCGGGCCACAATTTTTGACGTCGGCTCGGGCCGTTGGCTTGAGGTGCACCAAAAATCGCCTTTTCGTCCTGCGCGCAGCATGAGTGCATCCGCGGGCGTCGCGCTGGCGTCGCGTGCAATGGCCGGCGTCAGACGCGACGCCTGAGCCGACGCCGATGCCGAAGAGGCCACCAAGCGGCGGTTGGCGACGCGACCGCCGTCGAAGAAACAGTCGCGATGCAGCCAAGCGAAGACCAGCACGACGAGTGTGTATGGGACGAAGAGTCGAAGAACACGAGAAGCCGGGGTCGCGTCCTTATTATGGGCCTCCCAAAACGGAATGGCCCAATGGCAGCTGAATGGAGCGGCGTTGCGACCTTGCTTTTTTCGACACACCCGAGAGTGGTCAGCGGAGGCCCCTGCGTCTGTCCGCGACAGGCCCTACAACACGCCGCCGTGGCCGCCGTGCGATTTTTGCAATCGTCGCGGCGTCGCTGGGCCAGAGCGACTTCTTTAACTTGCCAACGCGTGCTGGAAGAGGCCCAAAATGCACGACATGGCCGCACGCCCGTCCCGCCACAGCGCGGCCAGCACAGGCAAGCGCCGACGGGATTCGAGTAACGAGAACACTCCTGCCAAGGCCGCGTGTGTGTGTGTGTGTGTGTGTGTGTGTGTGTGTGTGTGTGTGTGTGTGTGTGTGTTTGTGTGTGTTTATTTAACGTCTTGCGGGTATTTCCTATCGGGACAAAAGACGTGCTGAGCTAGGCGCTATACACTGCATCTTCTCCTAACTTAGGCCACCGGCTGTAGACTTATTCGGTCCCTGGGATTCTCCATCAATCCGCGTTGCGACGGGCCTTGCTCGGCTACTGTCTGTTTTCGCGGTCTTTTTTTCGGCGAAAACGCATCCCCTTGTTAGTTTCGGCCCCTGCTATTGGCTGCTGTATGTCTCGCCGTCCTCTCCGTCCTTTTTCACCGAAAAAGGACCATCTTTCAGCGCCGGGAACACGGACCCGGCCGAGCTGACTGCCCCACTCGCCGCGGAACGGTCCGATAGGTTCCTGCGGCTCGCTACTTGATACGCGAGATGAGAAGGGGCACAGGAACACCACGGATGCACAGAAAGGAAACAACACCGCGCATCGTAAATACACATTCCCTCCGTAAAGACTCTCCATCAACCGTGATGATGCTGTCCGGCAGCACACTCCGGGTGAACAACGAACAATGTCAGCTCTGCCTCTGCTCAGACCTTCCTCCTCACCACCACACCGCAAGCTGCCTCCAAACCTTTTAAAGACTCCGCCGCCGACAAGCCCACGCTCGCGGACGGGACGTGGCAGCGAAATTTCCGGTTCGCCAGGATCAGGGTGACCGCTTTCACGAAAAGTCGATGCAGCACTATTGGAGCAAGAGGCAGCCGAGGATCGCCGTCTGCGCGCCGACAGCAAACAGATCTGGCGCAATCGCCAACTACATTCATGTGTCGAGGACAACGAAACCACGCCATGGCTTAAACACACGGGATGGCCTGAATTCTTCGAAGGTCGACCGCTCGACATCATCACGACCTCTGCAACCCAGCCTACGGCAGCACCCAATCGAAGCCAAGAGGATTTGCTGCTGGGATCATGGCAAGGCGTACCAGTCCGGAGCTCTGCCAGAGCGGAGGCACGATTGCGCATACTCATGCAAGCCGTTGACGACATTTTCAATCGGGCGGAGGCCACTTTAGCTCGCACGTCTTACCGATCTCGTTGCTCGAGTTACTGGCGAGACACCTTCTATACTCGGCCACTGCGAGTTTTACCATCAAGAACGAAGGCAAGATACAAGTCGACGTGGAAGGAATTCATCTGCTACCTATTCCGAGCCATTGCGTTGAAGCCCCAGAAGCAACGCGAAATCCATAATATCCCGCTGCGTGCCGACGAGATAACGATGATGCACCACGTTCTATCACTGGTGTCACGGCTACAAGATGAAGGCGAGGTAGATGGGGCTACAAACGATGACCAGGGCAGCGATAGCTCCTGGTGCGAACAGAGCGCGACCGAACGAGGCGAAAGTGCCGAGGCTGATGCCGCAGGCGAAGACGAAGGCAGCAACGACATCTCGAATGACTTTTCGGATACCGAGACTAGAGTTGACTAGGCCAGCGACGACGACGAAACTAGTGACGATGACGATGTGTTTTGTTGCGAAGAAGACTACGGCAGCCATGGTGGACAGCACTCTTCTCACCGGCGTTCTATTCCCCTTCCCCACGGCACGAGACTCGAGCTGGCTGAAGCGCTTTTCCAACTCTCCATGATGTCTTGGACGCATCAATGCCAAACGGGTGTACTGGATTCCTCGGCTCTCGTGCATTTCGCAGCTGTCACGGGTATTCATAGGACCTCTCTCGCCTATCGTAGCGCATATAACTACACGCCTTCGCTCGCCGCCTTGATGTGGATTGGTCGGCTTTTCGTTCTTGAATATGCTTTACCGTTGTGCAGCTACGACTCGTTTACGTTTGGCCGGCTCGGAAAACCTACCCATCGCAGCCTGAGCAGCTCCAAGCGATCCGTAAAAACTACATGCTCAGATGACGTCACCTTCCCATTGGCGAGACCCTGGGTTGAAGGCGTTCGGGAAGAGCATCATCAAAGAAGAAGGGTATAGATCCAATCTAACCTGGTCTCTGGACGGCCAATAGTTCACCGTTGGCAGCGACAAGGCAGTGCAGTTGTCCAACTTCCGCACCACCCATCACGATGCCATTTGGTGAGTTCAAAAGCATGTTGGCGAGATGATGCTCAAATGGAAGCCGGCGGAGGACCTCTACCGTTGCCGACGATCTTTTTACAAGGTGCCGGGATGGCGTTTCCTCGACAGCCCAGAGAACGGCTTTTGGGAAAATACAAGGCCATGACGCGACGCGCCTGATTGTCTTCTTTCCGCGGTGCGGCGCTCTCCAAGGCCGGTCAATGGCTAAGCTGCTCCTGCCTGACGTATCTCGAATCGGGTATCGAGCTTGCAACTAAGATCTTTGTCGCACTTCATTTAACGCTGGCTTACCTGGTAGAGGCACCTATATCACAAGCATCAGGCTGCGAAACACGAAACCGGTGACCAGGAATGTGTTTGTCCGTGAAGGGCAGATACCCATTGTGATCAGCTACAGCAAATCTCGAGCTTCGAACGTAACTACGAGCTCTATACGGTACGCTACCTTCCCAAGGGCCTCGCCTCTGCCGTCTTGACTTACCTAACTTACATCTTGCCGTTCATCGACTTTCTGGCAAATCGACTTGAACTGCCGCAATTCCGAAGCAACCAGTTTCTTTTCCAGATCCGGGTGCTAAGCATAGCAGGAAGCATCTAACCTCGACGCAGGCGACCGAGGCCCTTCGGCTTTTCACCAATCAACTGCGGACGCCATGGATATTATCGCTCTACATGCAGGCCGCAATTGTGATTGCAAAGCGATACATTAGCGAATTCATCAAGAAGAAACGTTTTCACTACCCTACCGGAGCCAGTGCCCCGGTCAACATGATCGCTGCAGACGTGAGGCACCATCCGTGAATGTTCTCGACAGCGTCTGCGGTCGACAGAGCTTTGCCTGAGCACCCGCAACCGGAGCTCTTGGAGATTGACCGCAGCCTGTCTACCGTTTGGCAGGAGTGCGACAGATCCAGAGTCGCGCCGGGTTCCGGCAGGTGTTCGTAAGGCACTGTCCGGACGAGGAGAGGGTTCTCTGCTGTAAGGCCAGTACCGTTTACGAGGCCCATGCTCAGTAGGTCCTGAAGCGGTCGCGACGGGGATGCATGTGAAGGTCAAGCTCAGAAGCGCATAGTGGCGAGGGTTGGACTTTGTATCTGGACCTGGTAAAACCACTTGCACGCAGCCAAGAGGTCCTCCACTGGCCGTCACATTCAACCACATGGATTTCGTTGTCTACATCTGACCAAGTCTCAAGCTCGATGGACTGACGACTCCCACGCCGCCGTCACCGCCGATTATGATGAGGATATGTATATATATATATATATACATCGTGTACTTTCAGTATAGTACAAGTCGTTTCGGATAGTCCCAGTTCACCTCTCGCGGACAAGATCCACCGTGGCGCAGTGGAACGAACCACCGAGACTGTTAACATGCTGAAAGGGGCACAAAATCGGTTCCATGTTGAAGTTGCATTTGAGCCACTCAGCGAACTGCGTGTCGTTCTCCTCGACAAAGATGCGCCGCTCGTCCAGGCAAAGGGCGTTTAGTACCAGCCAAGGCGAGCACATATACAGAGGTGAGCAGCGATCCCCGAGGCGCTGTGGTGGGTAAGGGTAAGGGTGCAGCTCCCAGTCATCAGAAGCAAAGATGTCGTGCCGCCGGAGCTCCTCCTCGGTAACGCGTTCAGGATTGTAAACCAACAGTCCCTCCCGAAGAGGCAATATCGTGGCGTCAATATGCATGGCGTGTTT